TAAGTCCTCCAAAATTAAGGTGCCTGTCATAAATGGGGTAGCTTGTGGTTTGTTTTTTTTTTTGTTGGAACAGAAATAGGCAGACACTGGCCATATCTACACAAGACATTTATGCAGAGAACACTAATTAGCTCCACAGTAAATGTCTTGTATCTACATGTGCAGCCCTGTTAGATTCCAGGAAACTAACTCTGCAGCAGAGTAGTACTTGTAAATACAAATACTATTCTGCTGCAGAATTTTTTTGTGTGCAACAGCGTACATGTAGACACTGTCATGGCTGGCTGGACATGAGGGTGCATGAAGTTGCTTCAGTGTGGGGGTGCCTGCTGGCTAGTCCTGCACTAGAGCACTCTTCCACCCTAGCCAGCCCCTCTGCAGGACATTGAGCTGGGTCAGAGCATCCCAGGGCTAGCAGGCTGACCCCTGTGGGCCCTTCCAGCTGGGGCTGCTCTGACCCAGCTCCAAGTGCTGCAGTCCTGGGCACACGTTCAAACAGTGCGCCTGGGAGCAGTAAACTCTGGAACAGTATGTACCGGAGTTTATTGCTGCATTCTAATAGCACGTGTAGATGGCTCCCAAGATTGCTGCACCTTCTTTCTGGCTCTGCAAACAGCAGGGATGGAGCCCAGTGTTAATTCTGTCACAGCTACTATTGTCTGAGCCATGTAGCTTGTGCCTAACGCAGCAATTGAATTGGCTCAGGGCAAATGAGCTGCTGTAGGCAGTCTGTAGTATCTTAATGAGGCATGTGGTATGAAAATAACACTTTATTTTTTTACAGGAACTTATATAAAAACTATTTACAGTAAAGAAACAATCTTACTACTGCCCTTGCAAGGGTCAGGGGCCTAGCCTTGTTGCTGTTCTGTTATACTAAGAGGCTCCTGCTGCCTGTGGGGATGCCATATTTCCTGGACACACTATTTCTGGGAAGACTTATTTTATCACACTGTTGGTCATATATCTGGGGAAAACAAAAATTTCTACATACTGCCTTCCAAAAAACAAGGTGTCTGTTATTTGGGAGTGTGTGGTATGCAAGAAAATACAGGTTTGCTGTAGGGCAAATCCTCCCCATTTTTCCTCTTTGGTTCCAGAGGAATTTAGAGGTAGCAAAGCCAGCATAGATCAGCTGTTCATGAAATTTTCATAGTTATTGCATATGGCTGAGGGGTACATCAGGCTCTGGCTTTTTGTAATTTCTGGCATGGCAGAGGAGGATTTATTTTCCAAAAGCCTTGATTCAAAACCTGCTGAAGTTGATGGGAGTTAATGTGCTTTGGATCAGGTCCTAAATGCATAGCTAACAGTGAGTGGGACACCAGAGAGATACCTTGACATACAACTTGGATCAGAGTTTGACTGTCTTTAAATTTTTGAAAAGGAAAGGTCTGAGCCTTTTATTGGAGCATTAGTGCACCTTGTTTACTTGTAAGGAATAGTATTTGGAGAAGAGGGAGAAGGAGAGAAGAATGTAAAAAAAAAAAAAAAAAAAGAGTTGGGAGGTAGGGAGAGGGGAGAGGTAATGAGCATAAGAACCACCAGTACACCTCTTAAAGTAGAAAATAAGTTGCGTCTCCCATGCGTGACAGAATGGCTGTAACTTCCTGTCTGTGAGACTGTTCTCATTTTCTCATGATGGTCCCAAGCGCCTTACCCTTCTGAGAAAAGCCACTGAACTCAGTGGCATTATGTGCTGATGCATAGTGTGGACAGTGTTTGTTATCTCCACTCAGCTGATGGGAAATGAGTCCTGTTTTTAAGGATGGCTTTGATGGATCACCCATATTTCTGGTAAAATTAGAGAACTAAAGCAAGATGAAACTTATTTCTTAAGAGAGACAACTGAGTGAGAAATCCATTCCCATTATGGTTCCTAAGAATACTAGTTTCAAATGATCACTGAGTATTTCTTTTTTCTTTTGCATCACTGTACTCTGTGTGTGTGTGTGTGTGTGTGTGTGTGTGTTTTGAAAAATGATTGTTGGCATACAGAAGGAGCTTCAAGGAGGAGAAAGGTGGCTTTTGGAGGAGAAGATGGATTTCTGTAATGTTACAGTAGAATCTCTGTCATTTGCATCTGGGTGGTTTGCACCTGTTACCTTTGTAGCAGGTTGATGGATTAAGGATGAACCATTCAGCTATTTCTGTAGTCATACTCCTTCACAGTTCACTGGAAAAATAGTGTCATTTGAGATGTGTAGGAGTCAGCTGGAGCACCTCAATAGTCCTGTGAAGCTGTTGGCTTCAGCTTTTCTTTGCAGACTCTCATACATCTGCAAATCCTTGTCTTCACAAGGGGTGCCCAAACCTAACTGAATGGGTTTTACTGCATCTTACCTTAACACAGGCTATTGGGTTTTGGAGATGTTTGAATATTTGGAAGAGAGTATTTTGGATATTGTAGAAGGGCAAGGTTAAGTATCTTTGTTTTCCAAGCCAAAATGAATTGTGTAAGTTTTATCAGTGAGCTCACTTATTATAAGCTAAGTAATCCAGCTGGAAATCACAAAGGTCCAGACCCTTGTCTTTTCCAAGATGTTTTGGAGATCTTGTGGAGCTTTCTCAAGCCAAGTCAAGGATGAAAATAGTTTAAGATATGGAAAGTTTGTATCAAGGCAATTGTTTTTTTAATAGTAGTTTTGGAAAAAAAAAACCCCAAAACAGTTTTCGTGCTTGATGTTACGTTTTCCAAGATTTGCTCCTGGAATTGTGGTCTTCTTGGTGCCAAAGGGATTTAACCTTAAACTCTTTACAGAGCTCATTTTTGTTCACGTTAAGTGATAAGTAATGTTAAGCCACATATTTTCTGCTCTTTATGGGGTTTGTTTTGGTTTGCTTTTAAGAACAAAGGAAATTGGCACATGAACAGTGTTGTAATTGTCAGTTTGTAGTGGACCTGGAGATGCAGCAATAGAAAGCAGCAGCACATGGGGTGGAACAATAAGAGAAATAATTAACAGGACGAAAAGTTGATGAGAAATTTGCATTCCTTAATCCATACAAAGCACACAAACAAGCTCACCAGCCCCAAATACATTAATTTTCGCAAACTGATATATAGTGGGAATTAGAAAAGTGTGCTATGTTTGTCTAAGTCTGCTCTTGCTCATGATTTTAGTAATAAACTTATTAACTCTAATGGGAATAGAGTTAGGCCAAAGTTGAACACAGTTGAAAATGTTCCTGAATCGTTGCCCTGACCTTCCCAGGATCCATAATAAGCTGGCAAGTAATCCAGTTAACTGAAGTGGGCCCAGAGGCAGGAGTTTTTAGTGAGATATTTTATTGGATCAACTGTGTTAGGAGAGATGCTATGGAAGCTTCTGAGCATGAAACACCCTTTTTCACAACCCTCCCCAACTCCTCATATTTACTGAACCATCATGGCCACAACACTTCAACCATACCTAAACAGGACTAACATTTTGGCAGTGGGTTACATGACTGGTTGCTATATTGCAGGAGAGTTTTGGGGACTTAAAGTCTTAGGGTATGTGTAGATGAAACGGGGGCCCTAATTTGAAGTGGTGGGTTTTTAAAAACACCACTTCAGTTTTGGGCCCTTTAAACCCCTGTGTCACGTACCGAACACCGGAACTTACCTGCCTCTCTGGCAGGGGGGAAGGGAGTGTGAACTGCTGGTGGGCAGAGTGGACCCTGGGCTGCGGGGGGGAGCAGGGGGACGGACAGATAGTTGGCACCCACCTGCAGGCACCTGGCTTGGACAGCCCAAGGGGCCATCACAGGCACAGGGACCCCATGCAGCTCAGGCAAGCAGGCTCCAGGCTGTAGGGGAGGGAATCAGGCTCACCATTTTTTTTTTTTTAATTTTTTTCCTTGGGTAGAGCCTGACTTGCCAGGCTGCCTGCAAGGGCATCCTGTAGAGCTGCACAGAGCTCAGTGCTTCACTCCGCGGCTGTAGGGCAGCAAACTAAAAATCCTCATAGAAGTTTTAATTTGCTGCGCCCTCAGTCATTTAAGGTGCATTATGCCACCGAATTTGCTACAATGGCTGGATTTACTGAGCAATACACCACCGATGAGTGCAAACACGAACATTGTTAAAGCTGTACCTGCTTCTGGGAGCGTTTAGATCAGTGGTTGCATTCAGGCTAGCCAAAATATTTGATACCTTCATTATGAAGGCAGTGTGGTTGAGTGGATAAAACTGGGGTTTACTGTAGTAAAGATGTGCATTCTATTTCTGGCTCCGTTTTGCTGACCTTTTGTAGCCTGGTAAATTCACATACTTCTAAAATGGGGAAATATTACTTGACTTGTTTGTAAGATAATGTCTGAAGCTTTGCTTGATAAAAAGGGTTTTGAGCCCAGAACCACTAGTCTTCTGCCTCCCATCTTCTAAGCTTAATGGTAATAGATAGAAAGAACATCGTCTCCTTCACCACTGGTAGAACATGACATGAGTGGTTTCATGTATGAGTGGCTGTGTAGTTCAAGTGAAATGAAAAAGCCTCCACCAAATCCAGTATACATGAAAATGCTGCGAATTCCTGCTCTGCTCCACATGGGAAAGGGTGCCAAAACTTGGAATATGTGCTTTGAGCTTGCTCTGAGGCTCAATGAAAGGCTTCTGTTGACTTCAATGAGTTTTGGATCAGGTCTTTTTGTGTGTAGCTATTAATTTATACCCTAGGCCTGGGTTCCAGATGAAGTTAGGTTAGGAGGTTATACAGAAATTCCAAGGCTAAAACCAGACATTAATTTTGTTTGACTAGAGTCCTAAGGTAACATATTAACTCAAATTCTAGAAATCTTTAGAAAAATGTATGGATTATGTAGGTGTCTGAGTTTGCAAGATCAGGCCTTCTTGTTGATGAAACTTTTATTCTGACATCCACTTGCAATATTTTCTGAGTGTACACATTGATTTAAGAAAAACAGGTGTATTATTCCTTCTTTTACTATTTGATATGGTCTCAGCTAATGTTGCCTTCAGAAATCATATTCCTGTCTGTATATTCTCTCTCCAATAGATCTTGGAACAGTCATGCACAGAGGTATTACACTTGGAACCATCCAGTGTTTGTGTAGGAGGTAAGTTATTAGAATAGGAAAATAGGTATATAAGAAGTAGTTATAGTGCTGTTTTCCTCTTTGTGTAAAATGTGGAAATCAAACTCCATCAAACAACTAAAAGGAGGAATTACAGAAGAATCAGGAAGTCCTTTTTATTTATTTGGATTCCTCAAGGGAATTTTTTTTCTGACTCCTTAAAGTCTTGGTGATCTGTGCTGTGTGAGATCTTTGAGACAACACCAACTTTCAGTGCTGTAGCAAGCAAGCAACTTTTCAACCTCTTCTCATGTGTTTTAGACATACATATTGTTGTTAATACTACTTCGTTGTACTGTAATAGCCCTTAGGAGCTCCTGCTATAGTTCTGAACCTTACTGTCCTAGGCAATTTATAAATATATTGCCATGATATCCCCATGTGGTGTTACACTATATACATCATGCTGGTCTCAAACCTAATTTATTTATGTATTATCCAGTTTTCTGCCTTGTCAAATGCAGTAGATCAAAGTATGCGTTTAAAGTTACATATATATCTTATAGCAGATAAAGATAATTCTGTCTTTCCAGTGATGTTAATTTTTTTTCAAAAGTAAAATATAGTCCTAGCACTATTTGTTTCTGACATTTGCTATGTATGGTGGACAAAGCTGGAAAGCTGCATTTTTCTTTAGAGATGGGCTTATATATTCTGTGAAATTATGCAACTAATAAAGAAAGTTGCTCAAGCTTGCAGCCCATTGGTTTTTTTCCTCTTCATGGTTTTGCAATCTACACATTCTTTGAAACCAACCAAAATAAGGTTATTGCAAAATTTTAATTCAGCTGTTTTGTAAGAGATTACAAAACTTAGTGAGTTATTTGATCAAACCAGTGGTTTAGACTTTGTATTGACTCAAGGGAACTTAAAGGTTATTGTCCACACTAATTTTAAAGACAGTCTCTATCCAGTGCTGTCAGAGGGTGTGACCCAAAACTTATTGAAGTAATGAGGATTGATCCAGCTTCTGTATATTACAAGATAGGCTCATCACCTATGTTGCAGCTGCTAGGTGGGACTAGCCTTCCATCTGAAGTGATTGCTTATACATTATGAAGTTCTTTCTAGTCCTTTCCAAAAGTTATCTCAAGTGTGAGGCACAGATGTGACCTGTTAACAAGGTAGCATGAGTAATGGTGAAGTCTTACTACCTGTGCTGAACCTGTTTTGTGACTAGACCCCGATGACTCTGCTAATCTAAATTTGGCCCCTCCCACAAGCACTGACAGATGATTTTTGTTTTTCAGAGGAGTTTCAAGTTGTCCTCAGAGGAAGCGGCCTCAAACTGGGCAGAAACAAGGATAGTGTTACCTGCACCTACTCTGTAAATGGCACTATAATTAGTAAGTATTACAGTCTGATATAAACCGTGGTGAATACAGGATAAGCCAAAGGTCTTGTGTAATACGCTTATTTTTATAGTTGTGAATTTTCATCCTTTCCCCATTTTATACAAATATGAAAATAAAGAAGCAAAAAAATAAAGGAAGGAACTAGAATGGTTCAGAGGTTAGTAATCGAATATAATGCCTAGAAATTTCACCACAATTCATTTCAATTGACAGATTTCTTGGTATTCTCCATAAAGAGGCCAAAGATTGAAGGCTTCCCCTTTCTATTCTAGGCCACACTTGAGTTTTTTTGGTGGTTTGTCCCATCACTGTCAATGCTGCACCAGTTTGAATACAGTAGCAAACTCACTTTCTACATGAAAGCATCAGGCATCCTCACCTGGTAATGGAATTACTGTGATTCTGTGCAGAGTTCGGTGACATTGCGTGTGTGCTTCTGCATGACACTGAGCAGATCTCTTGTGGCTTTCCGGCATAGCAGTGTGCTGAGATGTGTGTAAAGAGCAGCGAGGATGGATTGGGGGCATAGCTGGGGATCTGATGATGGGTGTCTCCTCCAGTCATTGTGGTTGCTTAGGGGCCCAGGGACTGAAACACCACTCACCCTGAACTGGCCTCATTGTAGAGATATTTAGTAGGCCTGTGCAAAGCTTTGAGTGCTGATTTTGATTTGGAGGAGATTTGGCCTGATTTGGCAGCCAAAT